TCTGCCAGAGTGGTGGTGCAGAGGTAGCCCATTTTCCCATCAATGTTTTATGTAACTATTTTTTTTAATCGATACTAAGAAGTGAAAGATCGATATTATATTGGGCAGCCGAATATCATGATATATCGCCAAAACGATTATTTCCCACACCCCTATTGATAACTGAGGTTCAAAGTTCTTCTGTTCTTGATTTAGTTTTTTCTTGCGTCGAACAATGCTATCTGGCCCATTATCAGAGGAACATAACGAGCCTTTCTGTCCTGCCAAAGATGAAGCTATTCAATAGGAGAATAATTGACCCCCCCCCCCCATGAACCAAAGGCAATCACACCATATAGCAACTTTTAACACGTCTTCCTGGCGTCCGTATGGATGAATGCTTATCAGTAATGTAAGCAGTGGAGCTTTGGTCAGATTCCCTTCAGGGTCTAATCTATTTTAGCCTTTGTCTCCTTTCTGCGTTCTAGCAAATCTTTTCCTCATGAAGTTTATAAGAATGTCTTTCTATTCATTTGTCAACAACACATTTTACACTCAGTGACCAACCAATTAGATCCCTTCACAGGCGGCCCATCAGCCTAATGATGGGAGCTAGCACCCTGACCTATCACTGAACTCCTATAATTAATACACAAACCAAACTCTGGCTGATAATAATAGTGGTGATTCAGAAACACTTTATTCATCCCAAAGAGGAATTCAAAGTGTTTGTAACTCTTTTTATTCAGGTTCCTTTTGATAGTGGTGCTGCAGGCAGAAAGGAGATCCTCTAGCTGTTTATAATCAGCATAATAAAGACAAACTAAAGATGGAGGCACCGCTTTCCACCATGTTTGGGGATAATGCTCTCAGATCCATCTTTCTGTGGAGCTGCTAGTTTTATTTATTTCATCAGTTAAATTCTATTCAGTTTATTTCTATTGCTCCAATTCACATCATGTCCTCTCAGATCACTTTATAGATCCAGATCAACCTGATTGATTCAAAGTTTTCCATCTAAGGAAAACCAGCTGATTGCATCGACTCATTGACTCTTCAGCAATCCCTCACACTAAGCATGCTTGTAGCGACAGTGGAGAGGAAAAACTCCCTTTGAACAGGAAGAAACCTCCAGCAGAATCAGGCTCAGTGTGAGCGGCAGAGATGGGAAGTAAC